AGACAACGAGAAAGTCAGCAGGAAGCCAGGCAGCTAGAGGGTATTTATTGTGCCATTTCTTCCATGTGGGCATCCTCCTGTGACAACTAGACAAGTCTTGTCCATTCTTCTAAGGACTGGACTATTCCTCGTTCTCGGTCACAATTCCGTCAAGAAGTCGGTCTGATTCACCACATCATTTTCAGCAAACTTAACGGTCTGAGCGACTTATACTACACTACATTAGGGGTTATCAACCAGCCTAATGAGGTGGGTATCCTTATGATTGGTATCTTAATCCACTGTACCAGTCAGGGCCCAGTCCAAACGTGAGACAGTAACTTGAACAGGCAAAGTGTGGTATAAAGAACTAGTACTCAGTCACTGGGGATTAATTACTAAGGGTAAAGAGAACTCAACAATACAGCAACAGTGGCTATAGGAGCAGCCATTATGTCTACAGCCAAGGCAAGTGACCCAAGTAAGGAACACATTTGGAACAGGTTCCTTTGCAAGATTGAGAGTCAGAGTGTTGGAGAGGGTGTGGTTGTGACCCACTGTTTGCTACTAAAGTGCAGGGCTGGAGAGGAGAGGGTGTCAACAAAACTAGTTTGGAAGCAACCCACTGGGCTGCCAAAGAGCCTTGCTGGAAAGTTGCCCGAAGACTTGCTGGGAAGCTGGCAGGGGGACTGGTGCACTTGCTGGGAAGCACTCTTCCAGGAGGTGCCCTGAGCCCCCACAGTGCAGAAGCAAGAAAAAAGAACACACACCAGACCCAGGATAAGATCCTTTCTTCTGCAGCAGCCCTCCAGTACCCTCTCCTGACAAGTTGAACATAGTGCTAACAGGCATAAAGAAATGTTTGGAGGGCACAGCCCCAGCAACACAAAGTAGAACAGAGAGGGATTTGGGAACTGAGTAAACTGATAAATGGCATGTCCACAGTCAGTGGCAGTCCCTACACAAGGCTCAGCGAGAGTGCACATGTATGAGCAGGGAGGAGAGGGAGAAGCAGACTTCCCCCCTGAGCAGGGAACCTGAAACAGGACTTGATTTCAGGACCCTGGGATTTCCAGGACTTCCCAGAACGGGGATCAGAGAGGAGTCATTCTGGAAGGAATGCTCACTGAACCAGTACCTGGACTGGCTGCATGGGTACAGCACTTAAAATTTCACCTTTTGGTACTATTATTAAGGACACTGATGACTTCAGAATTTCTAAATAGGAGGGAGTAGAGAAGGCAAGAGGTCTTCTCTTCCATCTGCTCAGCAAGCACTTTTTCTCTCCCTTAGACTGTATATTTACTGGGGATGTCAGGAGGCCAGGGCTGGTGCAATTTGCAGGGAGTGACTAAATCCAAGGACCCAATGGAGAAATAATTCAGCTTCAGAATGGCCAGACCAAGTACCGACCAAGGAAAATTAGCTTTAGACTAGTGGATTTTAGGTATTTGCACATCAGGGAAGCTTAAGATTTCCTTATGATGTCCCTTTTCCTGATCACTGTGATTAAAAAACAAAAAACACCTCATGGCTTGTGTATTTAGGGTCAACTGTTCTAGCTGAACAAATAGAACTCAATTTCTGCAACATGCTGAAGACAACTTTCCCCACCCTGAATATACTCTACCTGTGCAAAACATTATAGATCAAAACTATGTGATAGAAATTTGACTATCAATGGTCTGAGAAACAATGGATTTTAAGTGGGCTATGTAACATTTTTCAGTTTTTATTCTGTCATGCTTCCTACAGTAACAAATGTTGGTAGTCAGTGATCCTAAAATGAAGTGTCACTTCAGTAGTATTTGTGAAGTGCTGTGAGATCCCACCAGACATACGGAAGGAATTTCAGAGACAGTCGATCAGGAAGAAGTTTCCTTTTCCATAAAAATAAGCTCTTCCCATAATTACATTAGTTGCTCAAGGCTGACTACAGCATTTCCATGACAATCAGATTAGGACCTGAACTAATTTAAAGTCCATTAGTTGGCCAGGGGCACCTGGGTGCCTTAGTTGTTAAGTATCTGCCTTCTGCTCAGGTCATGATCCCAGGGTCCTGAAATCAAGTCCTGTCTCAGGCTCCCTGCTCAGGGGCAAAGCCTGCTTCTCCCTCTCCTCCCTGCACATACATGTGCACTATCGCAAATAAAATCTTTTTTTTTTAAAGTTTCTTTTTAATTTTTTTTGTTTATTTGACAGAGAGCTAGAGAGAGAACACAAGTAAGCAGAGCGGCAGGGAGAGTGGGAGAGAGAGAAGCAGGCTCTCCGCTGAGCAGGGATCCCAATGCGGGGCTCGATCCCAGGACCCTGGAATCATGACCTGAGCTGAAGGCAGTCGCTTAACCAACTGAGCCACTCGGGCGCCCCACTATCGCAAATAAAATCTTAAAAAAATAATAAAGTTCATTAATTGGCCAATATAACCAGTGAGAACCAGCCAACTGGTCAGTTGTGTTGCACACTGGAATCAGTTGAAAAGTGTATTACAGACTGCCAGTCTGAGCCTCATCTCTGCCCAAATTAAACAACTATTATTCATAAAAGACAACTCTTTTGGAGTAGATAATTGAGTACCATTAAGGTTCCCCCAACCCCATTTCACCTTTTAAGCAAAAAACCAAGAAACAAAAAATCCAGAAACTACTGCCTTTGGTACTCTCAGGAACTTAAACTTGCTATTCATTCCCAACTACTACTGTTCACCTAACCAAAGCTTTTAAAAAATTAAGAGCACAGAAGCCCTAAGGCACTTTAGCTCTTTCGAAATTGCATGCAATTTTACAATACTTTTATTTTTCTAGAAATGATTTGTAGCTTTCATTAGATTTCCCCAAAAGCCCCTAACTCAAAAGGTTAAGAACCACTGCCTCAGAGGAACTAAGGCATTATAGCCAACAAATAGATTATAAACTGGGCATTAAAATGAAGATTTTATATTAAAATTCCAAGATTGAGAATATACTGGCCCATGTATTTAATTGCAAATGGAACATTAGAAAACAGATGAAAGATATTAATACATGAAAAGGTGAAGTCATTTCAGTAAGCCGAGAACAAACACTTGATGGAGGTTGCTATTTTTAACTTTCTATCAAAAGCTTTTCAAGTTTGCTTATGTTTTAAGAAATAATTCTGAGAGTTTTGCAGTCACTTGTCTTCCCAGTCTTTCAGGAAGCCACTCTCCAAATTAAACCACGCATACATTTGGCAACAATTAGTATTATTAACATATTCTACTACTTATCGAAATGTTCAAAAGCAAATTTAACATTAAAAATCATCAATCAAATACAGCTTATGATAGTATTTTCACCTCTACTGGAAATAAAATTTTCCACACTTTACCTAAAATACAGTTAAATTAACATTTCAGAGGGAACTGTATTCAGGAGTAGCACCATCATTTAGGAATGCTAAAAATATTTTCAGTGTAAGATCAATCTACTTTCATTACTTGAAAACACTTTTCTATGTCTAGTGTCAATTCACTTGATGATCAATTAAAAGGCGAGATGACTGAATCTTCCACTTATTTAAAAAAAAAAAGCATAGCATTTTTTCAGAGAGGAATTCCTTCATTTAATGAGATTTTTCTGGAGTTAGGTAGGTACAAATGTTAAGCCCACATATGGACTCTTCCAAATGTACTTGTTTGCCCCAAGTATCACTTTTGCAAGGCGGCTGCCGAGTGCCCACCAAGTTGGCCAATATAAACAGTGAGATAAAACATTTTAATATGCTAGACACTGTCTGGAACACTCCTCGTCTTGGCACTGACTGAACACATCACCTTACACCTCAAATTTCTTGTTCTAAAAAAATTGAGTTATCTTATAAAACTTACTTTAAGTCCAAATTTTAAATGATTCTAACATGTAATCCAAGTAAGTGCAAAGTATCTCAATAAGCACCTTTGATGTGAAAAGTAAGTCATTTCCCAATCAAAAGAACCATCTAATGACACACAGAACACTCACTAACAGAGGGAACTGCCAATATTAAGAACTCTAGTAAGGATTATTGACTATCACATATGTCCAATTCTAGTCTACACGTTTAAAATTCACTTGTCATCTGGGCACTGAGATATCCATCCCTCTACACAAAGTGTGACTCTAACACTGTTATCAATTTCCACAATAAAAATACTTTAAAAAAAATGTTGACAAATGGGGGAAAAGCCAACACCCAGAATAAAGGATTTAATCCAGTATTTATTCCACACTCATGATCGTTCTCTGTAATCAGAATACAAGTCATAAGAACAATCTATCAAATAATTTGCTGATAATCTTAAATAATGCAGTACAGCATTACTTTTTAATATTTCTCTGTTCTAGATTAAGTTTAAAAACTCAAACAGCCATCTTCATTATCAATTAAAAAAGTTTTGAATTTTAAAAAAAGGACACTATATCAAGCTGTTTCATAATTTAAGTTTTTTCCCATTTATAAAAATGCTTTGGAAGCTTGAGGCTTGAATCTATTTCTCTACTCATCTGCCCCACCCTCTCCCAATTTCACGTTAGTATAGGGTTGCTGCAAGAATGCTAGGCTTTAGACATTAATTTTTTCCTTTAATATAGTACTTTAAAATCTGAGAAATTCAAGAAAAAGATTACATGTCATGTATTTTTCCAAATAAAAAAGAAAAACTACGTGAATAAATTTTAGGCATACTAACAGTGTCCCTTTGAGGTAGAATGCTAAAAGGACTTTTGATCAAATCACAGCCTAATTGAAACCTCTGCATCAGAAACTAACTTGTCATGAATCTCTCTAAAGTTAACTGTGGAGAATATTAAGTGTAACATATTAACAAGAGCCTTCCAAGATAATATACAGTGGACAAGAATGTTAATCCTACAACTGCCGCCTTCATGTACACCGAAAGCACAAAATTCTCCTATAATAGACATCCAAGATCCATTCTCAAAGTCTTTAGCATTCTATTATGAAAAGCACAGCCATGCTAACTTCAGTACACAAACCATAATCCCACACCTACAGAACAAAAATAGAATTAGTGGCAGTTTATTGCCTTATACAAATTTAACCAACATGGCAACCATGCCAAAAGAATTAAAACATTTTCAGGACATATGTACAGACTGTACATCTCAAAAACAATTAAACAATAAAAATGCAAGAACAATCTGTGCATCATGTATCAAACTCAACAACTGGGTGAAAACATCAATGCAATAAATGGGATTACAAAGGCACTTCCCTACACAAAAGAGGAAATGAAAATGCAGCCTACAGGGAGCTTGAAGAGTGCGTTAACTACTGCACAATTTCAACTTGGGAGGAAAAAAGAAAGCAGATTTAATCAAACATTTATAGGATTCAATGTGATCCACTTTTACAAAAAAAATTTCACACAGTCTCATCTTTGTTTTTATGTTGTTTCTCTTGGCTCTCTGGTTCTATACTTTGGCTCCTTCGACGATCATGTTTGTCAGACTGGTCCTTACTATCACTGTGATCTCGTTTGTGGGAACGTTCTTTACTTCTGCTACGCTTTCTAGATTTTTCTTTGCTGGGGCTATGTTCCCGTTTTCTTGATTTTTCCACACTGTCAGTTCTTCCTTGACTGCCACTTCTACTTCGCTTATTTGATTTTTCTTTACTTTCATTTTTATGTTTACTTGATTTCTCTTTGCTCCTACTTCTGCTTCGTTTCCCTGCATTTCTACTTCTACTCCTACTTCTGTGCTTCCTTTCTCTGCTTCTACTCCTACTGTGTTTTTTCTCCTTCTTGGAATCTTTTTTGTCATCTCTATGCCGCCTATCGTCTTTATCTTCTTTGTGTTTCTTTTCTTCTACCTCACCCCTACTTCTCCGTTCCTTGGACCGTTCTCTTGATCGCTCTCGCTCCTTTTCTCGGTCATTACCTCTTTCCTTATCATAGTCACGATCCCGTCTTCTACCTCTCTCATTTTCTTTCTCTCTTTCCCTATCCCTGTCCCTTCGATCCCCTTTCCTATCCCGACTTCGACTACGACTTCTATGCCTTTCTCTACTCCTGCTACTCCGCCTGCGTTCCAACCCCCGATCAATACTTCGGGATCTTCGCCTTTCTTTCTCCCTTTCTTTGGCTTCGCGCTCTAGTCGCTGGCGTTCTTTCTCTCTTTCTAATTCTCGATCAAAACTAGAAGACCCATGGCCCTCCCGGTGATGGCTTCTACTTCTTGATCTTCTTGGGGACCTCCGTGGACTCAGTGATCTCCTTGGAGACCTAATATTTAAGAAAGGAAGAAAAAAATGTCAATGAATAAAACGAATCCTAAAAATTTAACTTCTGTCTTATTCATTTAGGTTCCCCACATATACAGATATGTTAGGAACAATTAAAGACCCTGAAAGGCAGAAAAAAAATGGAACTTTTGGGGTTAAAAGTGACAAACTCATAAAATGAACAGCATACACAGAATTTCTTGAGAGTTTGCCACTGATTTCCAAGGACCTTTGTACAAAGATTATTTTTAAAGTAATTCCAAGAGGTATGTTACCTTGAACGCCTGCGTTCAACATGTCTATCTATTTCCTCGGCACCTTCCTTCCCATCTTTCTTGATTTTTCTAGGCCGGGTTTTGATCTGTTGATCAATATTCTTCTGAACTGGAACCGGAATTCTTGGAAACAGGGTAGAAAACCACTCCAGTTTTGTGAGAAAAGACCGTAGCATTTCTCCAATGGTCATTACACAGCCTCCACCAGCCTTCACATCTAGGTCCTACAAAAACACAAAAGATACCCTAGCCGTCAAAAAAATTAATTTCAACACACACATGTATACTATAAAAATATTACCATCTTTGGAATCTCAAATACAAAAAATTCTAACAAAAATTGTAATCTGTGTACCCTACTAATCTGGTAATGAATGATACAGAGAAATATTTGGGCTTAGTGTGTGCATGCAGGTGAGAACAAATCCTGCAGCCTCATGGGCATGAAGTATACTAATCTCACTCAGTTAACAGGAATATGAAACAGCCCCTTATATTACTAAACTCTGTGGAACAATAAACTTAAATAAACATTCCACGTACCTACTAATTATGTATTTCTTTCCGTGGACACGTTTGCACACATCATTCCTAACACTGTAGCCTAACTACATATGAACTACTTCAGACAATCCTGTCTAATGAGTATTTTTTAACAGCTCTAATATAAAATGAAGCCCTAATAAAACTGGAAGCAATAGCAAACCAACTGCCATGAAGCAGTGAGGTTTCTAATTTAGAGTTATGTAGAAAATAAATAAATGAACAAATAATTGGAAACGCATAATCCATGATGACCATTGTCTCTGAAAAGGGTCATTACCGCATGAAGGCCTTCTTGCTATGCCCTCTCACAGCTCAGGACATGTTAGTCAGCTATTGTCAGTCCCAAACCTATAGTGCAAGCACACAAGGAAAGTGAGATTTGTTATCTAAACAGGAAAACAAGAGCTAAAGGTAAAACTGCTTGCACTCACACACACTTAAGTGTTCAGATATACAGTATTTCCAAATATAATCGCTGCAGATATCTAAGGAAGAAAACAATAAGTTAGCTTAAATAGAGATCCTCAGGTTTGTAAATACAATAAAAAACAGATTAAACAGAAGCATTCAGAAACAAACCTAATGCAATACCAATTATGAAGAGGGACATGCTTTCTAAATATAGAAGGGAGAAGTCCTTTGGCCTGAAAAATCTCTTCTAAAAAGAAAAGCAACTTTAAAGATTGTGATTTAACACCTAATACATATTTTTATTCTTCAGAAATACGAATAGTTCAGTGAACAGACCCTGCCAAAAAAACACAGACAAAAATTCTCCATGTCTACAAGAGTGAGACTTTTTTTTAGGTCTGCACATAATAAAACACTAGAAAGATCTCTATCTCAACTATCCTTTAATTCAACAAATTCTTTGGATAAATATTTTAAATGAGACTACTGAAGTGCAGCACTCAAAATTTACTTTCTGAATCTTAAAATACAAAGTGGTGGGGGCATATGTATGGACAATACAGGTATGTATTAAGTACTTTTTGAGATCTTGGACTTCACTCTGTAAGCACATTAATACATACGATTTAAATCCGACACAGCAATGTTTCTGAAAGTAAATTTTGTTTCCTGAACATATGTAACAAGCTCAACCTTGTTAAGCCTGAGTGACAAACTACATTTATAATTAAACAAAAAGGAGAACTGGTCTGGCTTAGTCTTAGACACATATGACTCTTGACCTTGGGGTCATGAGTTCAAGCCCCACACCGGGTATATAGAGCTTACTTTTTTTAAAAAACATTTTTTAAATTAAAAACAAGAAACTAATTTTAGGGTTTTTGTCTGGTTTTAGAAATAAGTATATCATATTAGGAGTCAGAAAGCGAAAATTGTAGTATTTTGATCACTTTGAATAAATCCTCTGAACTCTCACCCTACTTAAATCCCACCCACCTCTTCAATTCTGCACTCCTGTGCAAGTGGGAGTATTAATTCGTGGAAGCAGTTAGAGCATAGAGAGCTGAAGTTCCAAGAGAATAAAGTGCTATAATTAGTGTTGTATGTGCATGTCTTAACAGCTCAATCTTGAACATGGCCCACTTAAAAAGTCACTATCAACAGCACAAGTCAAGATCAATACCATATACAAAACTCAATTAGAAAGAAAAAAACTGCAATAGTTACCAAAACCATTTAAACAATTAAGAAATGAGAAAATTTAAGAAAGTTAATCTAAGACATATAAAAATCCAATAAGTCTTAGAAAAGGTCAGCAATTCCAAAAATATGAGAGAAATAAATTTAAGTACAGAAAACCCTGAAAAACATTAAACTTCCAATAAATAAATAAAAGATATTTTTATATCTTTTTACATGAGAGTAATCAGAAGAAAACTAATTATTACCCTTGTTGACATACCTCTTCATCATCAAGGAAGGATTCAAACCAGTCCCAGAGATCTGTAGGGGGCTGTGTGTACCTAGAATTACAACAGATTGATTAGGCTTATGTGAATTAAAATGGGAGTTAAATGGAAATGTAGATAAATGCATGTTTACCTTATATACATAAATCCAAGGGCTCTAATATATGGAGAGTCTGTGTGTGTTATGAGACCCATCACTTGCTTACGAGTTAGCTTCAGAGTAAATAATTTGTATAACAAGCAGAAAGCTGTAGAAACAATTCCTCCTGTTCCAACACCTCGAACCTTCAGGGGAAACAGTTAAGAAAAAGTAACAAAATAACTAACAAATATTTAACACCAACTTATTAATCCCATTAGGTATTAATAATAAGATATAACCCAGAACTAAAAATAGAGCATTAATAAAAACAGCAACTTTCTAACCCCATTCACTAGACACTTGAATTTAGATAAAAACAAACTTCTAAGCTGTGCCAACTGTCATTTGAGTAACTTACTTTTAGTTTCCTAATTTTAAACTTATGTTATCAGACACAGAAAAACTGAAAAATGCACGTACTTCTACTTACCCCTCCGCACATCCCCGTTTGGCCTGCTGTTTTCCTGCTTCCTTTCTCCCATGGTTCAACATGTGTGACCTGAAATAGAAAAGAGGAACACAACAAACATTCATACTTCTAATTTTTTTTAAAACTATGATTAAAGTAAACCCAAGTCCCTAATAGAGCAGCTTTTTCCAAAAGTTTGGAAGCTGATTACTTTGACATGATGCATATATTTTGTTTACATGTAAACCATCTTTCAAAAACTGCTGAGCTTTTAAAGAGCACCAATAAAACTGTTGGAGTTTAACAAAACCTCAACAGTTTTATGAGCAGAAATCCCATTAAAATAGCTTTGTAGAGAGCTGATACTTGTGGAGCCAAGAGATTTCTAAGAGTCTCACATACATGCAAAAATATATCTGATGTTATATCAATTTTGTATCTTTTTATGAGTTGTTAAAACAATAGAAATTCTCATTTTAAAATGGATTTAAGGCTCCAACTTGAAGCAAAAAGTATCAATGAAGTTTTAATTTAATTAATTATTAATTAAATTAAATTAATAATTAAAACAAAAAAATTTAATACCCTTAATTTTATGGTGATTTAAAATTCTATATCGTAAAAATTTTAAAAAATGACTTGAAGTATATGCATGTTAAAACAGTAACAAGTTACTTCTAATGCAAAATTATGGAAATTCATTTGTACTTTTTTTTTTTTACCATGAACAGGCATTATGTTCATTCCTGATTAGAGATGAAATTACAAGGGCCACACCTATACAGATAATTCTTGTAAGTAATTTATTTTCAGCCTAATTACAGGAACCAATTCAATTTTTCCCCAGAATATAAACTGTTAAAAACTGAGTGACTAGTCATTATATTAAATATAATCGATACAGTATCATCTTTGTTGAGTACCCTATAAAAACCACATACTTTACCTAAAAATGGCAAAGAAAATTAACTCGATAAAAAATAACTCAAGGTCTTTTAGAAAAATCTTTATTTCTTAACTTAAAACAAAATCAAAATAAAGTTCTGTTCTTTCAGTATGCATTTCTAAAACTGTATTTTTACCCCACCAATGGTTACATTTTTATCATCTTTTTTCTGTGGCTTCAGACAGAAAAGCATGCATTTAAATGTGAGCACTACACTATTATGCTCAGCATTGCTTTACGGTTTTATTTCCTTCCCCCAGTTTGCTGTATGAAAGAGGTTTCAATTCCTTAAAGGCTAGCAAAGGGGTGGATACAACACGAAATCAACTTAGAACTAGAAGCCTACATATGTCAATGATTTATTTAATCTGGACATCTTGATAACAAAGACTGGATCTTTAGTTTTATAACTAAATTTAAATAATTACTAGTACATTCTTGAATTGTTTCAAAACACGGTATCTGAATTTGAGAAAACAAGCTTTTCCTCTATCACGTTAACATCTGCCTGTATTATTAAACAGAACCTGCTACAGAAAGAGCAGGAACCCAATTTTCAATTGTTTGAAGTTTACTACACAAAGCTAAGAATATTCACCATACTGTATCCATACTGAAAAAGGCCTTACCTTTTAAAAGCTATAAAAAACCTAGTTCATAGTATTACACTTACAATATTCTTGTAAAAGGATAAGCAAATTTCAGTGTACTTTACATACCCAAAGTTGAACTGTATTCTCAAACTACGATTTTTCTATCAAAAACTAGTATCTCAAAATTCTTCAATAACCTAATCATTTAACGGGGTGGTGTGTGTGGGGCGGGGGGGGGGGGGATTGGGGACAAAATATAACCTAAAGGCAAATAAAGAATTTCTTCTTGCTAGCACCTCTACAGGTATGTTCAGATCACAGAAAATATGTGGTCTGTCAAACGTTTTAGGAGTCAAATACACAAAACAGACGGTATTGTTAGATGCGCTCGCTAAAATAAAGATTATTAAGACTATTATTAATATTCCTTTAAATATTAATTAACCTTAAGAGGCCTGGAAGATAGCTTTAAAACTACATAATTTGCAAGGAAGTGGAGAAAACCTATCTAGTTGGTGAAGAAAAGCCCAAAACCAATGGCCAAAAAATACCTAATTAGCCGTTCATTTAATCAGGGAAATGCATTTATGGCGATTGAGCATGATTAATAGTGCATACCTCTACCTGCGACCCTGGGCTGCTCCGAGCCTCGCTGCAAGACTGAGTCAATCCTGCTAACGAAACAAGAACTGAGACAAGAGTGCAGTGAGGAGGCGCCAGGTGAGCTCCCCAGCACAGCCAAGCCAGCACCGACCCTGCCGCAGAAGCCCAGGGCCCAGATAATTCTAAACAAGCCCAATGCACAAGTAACTGAGACCACTTACTCCTGACTTCCTGCTGGGAAAATTTCCAGGCCTTCTGTACACCTCTTGCCCTGGCACCTCTCCACCCTCAACCCCCCCCCCCCCCACCCGACACACGCACTGACCATTTCCCTGTCTGGATCGGATAGAGAATACCAACAACACGAGGCCAACATTGAAGTCAATATACGCCCTGGCCCAGGGTGAGCGGGAGAAGCACCAACAAGTTGGCGCTGCGTAGATCCACGTCAAAAGGAATAATTTTAAAGCTGGAAACTGGAGAGGATTCAGTTACTCTTTCCCCCTCCCCCACCTCTCCCGTCCAACTCCCCCCAGGGGTGGGCAGGAGGGGTGGGGGAGGAGAGAGTTCAATAGTGGCGGGCTCTCCCAGCCCTAAAAATCTGAAAAAGAAATGAGAGGGCGGCCCCAGTTTGACCCCTCCCAGCCGACTACAGTCCACCCCCCCCCCCCCCCAAATCAACATTCCCGCACCTACAAATTCTCAGACCTCAAGGGCCGCCTCCGCCCATTTCCTCTAACCCGTCCTCGGAACTTAACCCTCCCAGTCCCGGTCCCCCAACCCCCACCCCAGGCCTAGACTCTTCGTACCTTAAAGTAGATCTCGTCCACCACCTCGTGGTAGGTCTTGAGCTCGTAGAGCTGCACTTTGAAGTAAGGCGACGACAGGATATTGGTCAAGATCATGGGGTTGAGGTTCATAGTCTTCTCGTTGCCCCACAGCGGTAGCACATTTCCCTGTTTGCCCGAGACCGCCGGCTTGGTGGCGCCGCCGCCGCCACCGCCGCACTGCTGCTGCTGCTGGGCCGCGGCCGCGGCCGCCTGATGCTGCGGCTGCGAGTTGCCTGTCAGCGCGGGGCTGTTGTTAGCCATGTTGCGGCGGAAGGAAGGAGGGAGGGAGAAGGGAGGGGGAGGGGGCCAAGCTCGATCTCGCTCTTCGGGACAACGGTCCGGGACCCTACTCCATGGAACGCCGTCAGGACAGGGGGCCGCCTCGCTGTCCCCCAGCTGGATGAGGGAGGGCAACGGGAACGCCGACAAAAGGTCCCTGGATCGAAAGCAGACGCCGAGACGCGGGCGCGAGAACTCCCGGCAGAAGGCGAACCGGCGGCCACCGAGCGCGATCTCTTCCGCCAACTGCCCCTGGGAACAAGATGGCGGGCCCGGCGGATGTTACGTCACACGCCCCAGAGTTCCAAGCTGAGCCGGCAGCCAATCAGAGACGCCCAGCTGGGCTGGAAATTCCTCTTCCTAGTTCCGCACGTTCTGTGCACGCTGCGGTCGCTGCGGTGGTCTCGGGTGTCCGACTCTTAGATTTCCCCTGGGAATTTGGGGTCAGGGGAGAGGTTTGAAGGCCCAATTCGTATGTTTTAGAATCTGGGTTGGGGGCCCAGTTTCTCCTCTTGAAAGCCGGGCAGGAAATGGTTCGCATGGATATATCCTTGCGAATTCGTGACTTTCACGGAGTACCCTATTCTCTTGGGTTCCCAATTTCAAGATTCTCTGGAATGGATGATGATTAGGACTTAATTCCTCCATGTGATTCCGATGCAATAGTTACATCTTTCTATCTGCTGGCTGTAATGTACGGCCGGAGGTTTTATTGTTTGAGCCCAAATTTATTCAGCTGTAAGACTGGAAGACCTCGTTCTGGGCTGCTAAAACATCTGAGCATTAAAAGAGCTACTACACCTGTAGAGCCTGTAGAATTCTACAAGCCTTTGTTAGGTGCCTTTCTATCCTCCCTACTCGAGTTCATCCATTATGCGGGTGCGTTCTAAGTGGTAAACACTGGGCGAGGCACTGAACGGGGGAGGAGGGAGGCAGGCGGGAGGAGGTGTAAAAATGAGTCAGAATCGGCCTTGTCACTCAAAAGCTATTGTTAACCTAGAGGAAATACGTATGATTTGGGAGTTAATAGAAGGCTGCAAGAAGTACTTAAGTTTATAAAGCTGCTGTCAGGATGGGCAGTTATTATCAGCAGAGAACAGCCGGAGGCTATGTAGAAGCAGGAAAGATCAGGCTTGTTAGACGGTAAATAGTCCAGTATGGGAGCTGGGGAATATGCTGATGGGCGGAGTAATGGCTGGGATGGAACTGGGCAACTGTTAGTGCCTGGAATGCCAAGATGAAACATCGGAATTTAATGACATTTAAATCCAATGATTACATAATTATATCTGTGACCCCCATATCTACTTTTAGATATTAATATTCCTAATATTTTCTGGCTCCAATCCATTCTTCAGAGTACTGCCAGATTCTTCATTCCCAAAGTGTAACACCCCTACTCAAAAACCTCGGATGGCTCGCTTAGTGACATCCTAATTGCTATTGCCAAAATTCAGTGACCTTTTTCACTCTTCATCCTATTTGATTTCTGTGGCACTTAAAAAAATTTTTTTTTTAATTTAATCTCTACAGGTGGGTCTCAAACTCACCACCCAAATGCAAGAGTTGCGTGCTCTTTGGCCTAAGCTAGCCAGCTGCCCCTGTTGCACTTTTTATCATTTTCTCTTTCCTAGAAGCTTTTGAGGTTGGAAGTTTGAAAGTGGAGATCGTAATTTTCACTGGCTTCTACACAGAAGAGGGGAAAATGGTAAGACAGAAACCTTGGGGAAAATCCACACCTGGATGAAGATGAAAGAGCAGGAGAGAGAAGACAGAGAAGTAGGAGGTAAACTGGGACACTGTGGTATGACAGAATGCAAGGAAAGATAAAGGATAGTTAAATGAATGGTTGGAGGGGTACCTGGGTGGCTCAATTGGTTAAGCCTTTGCCTTCAGCTCAGGTCGTTATCTCAGGGGCCTGGAATGGAGCCATGGGTAGGGCTCCCTGCTCAGTGCGGAGCCTGCTTCTCCCTCTCCCTCCGCTTCTGCCCCTCCGCCTGCTCTGCCTCCCTCTCTCTCAGTAACTAAAATCTTTTTTAAAGTAATGAGTAAATAATATTGAATGATTGGAGTGACTAATATTTAGAGTTAGATAGATGGTACACGAGTGATCATCCTTTCTAGTTTATCTTACATTAAAAACTGAAGCTTTGAGAGAAGTGGTTTTTGCTTTCTACTAGATCTTGTTTTTCTGTACATTATACAAATATACTTCCTAAGGAAAATTGACGATTCCAGCCTCTAATGAATTGCCAAGTTAAAAATGCAATGAAAAAGAATTCTTCCTTTATTTATGTGTATTTTTCTGTCTGGTTAATAAGTATATTGAGTTTAATCTAGTGACACTCCAACTGCCAAATTCTGAGATCTTTTAAAAATTCCTTACCACATGTGATCTATGTAGTCTTGGATACTCATTTACCCCTAGAGTCTGAGTGAAATGAGCTCAGAAGAGAGATTGAGGTTTAATATGAATGTCTCAGTAGCACCAACCTAATTTAGGGAGCCAGGGATTATGATAAAGTGCTTAGCATAGTCAATGAAACCCCGCAACAGCCTGAAGATATTACTGTTATCCCCCATTAAATAAACTTTACTGGTATTTAACTTGGGAACACTACACTGCATATAGATAAAGCTGGGAAGTTTGATTTGATCAGTTTTGACATTTGCACACACCTTGTCTTAGTCCATTCATGCTGTTATAACAAAATTCCACAAAGAAGATAGCTTAAAAATATCAGTAATTTAGGGACGCCTGGGTGGCTCAGTTGGTTAAGCAGCTGCCTTCGGCTCAGGTCATGATCCCGGTGTCCTGGGATCGAGTCCCACATCGGGCTCCTTGCTCAGCAGGGAGCCTGCTTCTCCCTCTGCCTCTGCCTGCCATTCTGTCTGCCTGTGCTTGCTCTCTCTCCCTCTCTCTCTCTCTGACAAATAAATAAATAAAATCTTAAAAAAAAAATCAGTAATTTATTTCTCACTGTTCTGAATGCTAAAGAGTCCAAGATCAAGGGTCATGCTCTTCCTGAGTCATGGTTGGCACCTTCTAGCTGTACTTACATGGTTGAAAGTGTGGGGCACCTCCTGGGGTCTTCTTCGTAAGACCACTAATCCCATGTATGAGAGCTCCAACTTTGTGATATAAACACCTCCAGAAGGACTCATCTCCTAAAAGGGTCACTTTGGAGGTTAGAATTTCAATGTACAAATTTTGCAGGGATATATTCAGACCATAGCACTCATTAAATCATCACCACAATCAAGATAACGATCTTGCATCACCTCCAAAAGTTCCCCTGAGTTTGTAATCCACGTCTCCTCCAACTCCATCCCTAGGCAGTCATTTTCTGTCAGTTTGCAATTTTCTGAAATTTAAATAAATGGAATCATACACTTAGTTCCCTTTTAGCCTGGCTTTTTTGGTTCAGCATAAGCTTGAGATTTATCATTGCTTATGTCAACAGGTTATATTATTTTTTAAAAAGCACTGAGTAATATTCCATTGTGGGATTTCCTACAATTTGTTCAATCATCTGTTGATGAGCATTTGGGCATCTAATTTGGGACTATTATAAATATAGCTGCTAGGCCCCTGGGTGGCTCAGTTGGTTAAGTGGCTGCCTTTGGCTCAGGTTATGATCCCAGTGTCCTGGGACTGAGTCCCATATCAGACTCCCTGCTCTGCAGGGGACCCTGCTTCTCCCTCTGCCTCTGACTCTGTCTCTCATGAATGAATAAATAAATAAAACAAATATAACTGCTATCAACTCAGTTAAGCATCCGACTCTTGATTTTTGGCTCAGGTCATGATCTCTGGTGGTAGGATTGAGCCCTCCCTCAGGTTCTGTGCTCAGTGCTCAGTGGAATCAGATTGTCCCTCTCCCTCCTCTTCCCCCTGTGTGTATACACGCTCTCTCTCTCGAAAATAAATAAAACCTTTTTAAAAAATGTGTATCATTCATGAATAAATGAGTAAAGGATTAAAATAACTGCCATGTGTAACTAAAATACATGTTCTGGTGTTTTGAACATGTTACTATTTAGAACAACTACAAATCTAAAGTAATATAAGAAGTCCTTGACTGAAGTACCTAAGAACTAAAAATCTGATACAATGTATGCACATTCAGGGTGTCCTTGATATGAACAATCAATGGTGTTTATTGGTTAGGATTTCAAAGTACTGAATCAGAAAAGGTATGAGTTGAGATTTAAAAATTATTAGGGGAGCCTGGCTTGCTCAGTCCATACAGCATGTGACTCTTGATCTTGGGGTTGTGAGTGTGGCCCCCTGTTGGGCATAGAGATTACTTAAAAATTATCAGGAGTTAACTAGGCAAATAAAAGGAAAGGATATTCTAGTTAAGGCTAGCCTGTGCAAAATCTCTGAGGCATAAAGAACAAATGATGTATTTGGGAAACTCTTTGTCACTATTGTACTACTTAAATTTTTTTTCTGAGGGTGATATGCAAAATTGGTATAGCCATACAAATGTATACTGGCTGAATACTAATTCTGAATACACTGTAATTATCTGCTAATTTGTCATCTTCAGCCACCAGAGGGAGGGTCTCTGCCTTTCAGTGAATCATTCCCAGCACTAGGCATAAGGATGGACACATAGTAGGCACTAAGTAAATAGTTAAAAGAAAACTGTTTCTCTACTCACTTTGGACAACAAATGTGTGGGTTCTCTCCTTCTGCCCCAACACATACACCAACCAATTTTCAAACTCTAGACACCAGCTGTGTGTTCTATAATTTAATTCAATTCTGATAGTAACTACTCAAGAGTTAGCACCGACTGCATAGTTAAGGGCTCAGTCCCACAAGACTGACCCAACTTCAGACACCAATTACAAATAATGGGTCCCTGGGTACCTGGGTGGCTCAGTTGGTTAAGTGACTGCATTTAGCTTGGGTCATGATCCTGGGGTCCTGGGATCGAGTCCCACATCAGGCTCCCCCTGCTTTGTGGGGA